CTGTGCCAGAGTACTGAGGTCTCGTTTTTCACATTGATTTTTTTTACCATGGGGCGTGGCGAACAGAGCCATAGCCGTATATCAGTCAAGAAGAAGCAGGGAGAAGGAAGGTAATTTAAGCCAATTTAGTAATTTTTTCCAAAGACATTTCAGCGGGTCGGAATTGTTTGCTTGTAGTTTATTGCCTCGGCTTAATATCGTCTTCCGGTCAGTAAGCTCTTCCGTGTCTTTTTCAAAGAAATCATGGTTCACCCTTCGCTAAGCCATGACTTTCCATGAGGGGCTCTCTGTTTGAAACAAATGGTCTTTGGTCAGTGCTTCAGTGTTTGCTGTGCATGTAGTCCTACTCGCTGTGGCTTGAAGTTCAAACGTAAGGATCGGACCCTCAGTCACTCATGGATGAAGACAACAAAATATCAAATAGGTATTGTGATCTATTTGGCCCAGACGCGTGCAACGAACTCGGCATGTCAGGAAAAGTCGTGATGGCGTTTCCGAACACAGTGCGACGTAGCCGTGATAGTCATCATCGCTTAACTTCTCTGAAATGTAGCGTAATGTCTCGGTATTCTCCTTGCTTTGATGTCTGTGCTCGACCGGCTGTCTGAGATAAGCCTACATGATTCTTTCTGACAGAATCAGTGCAATCTACCATGGCCAGTCGGACCGACCATCTGTTTCGAATTTAATGTAACAGTCTGAGTAAATTCGTCAGCCAATTCCATGTATCAAGCGTCACGTGACTGACAAGTTTTCTTGTTGGTGTGTCACCACCAATAATGAGAAAACATCGTGGTATTTATCAAGGGGAGGGGTGTTTCTCACCAAGGCACGAATGCAATTCTATCATTGTCAAAAAATTGGGGTTCCCCTGGGCTATTTGATAACTATATACATGTACAAGTGGTTTTTGAGTTTGATAAAGTTGACACCTGTATCCATTTCTATGTGGCAGTGTGTATTAAAAACTACCAGTGCCCTCCCAGTTATTACTGTGAATTTGCTACTGTTCCTTGCGCATCAGTGTTGACCTGAACAGCCAGGAAAGCGCCATACTAAAATGGGGTTAGTGTGTCTTTGACCGCACTGTACCGGAAACAGTGACCTTACGTCGCTCACAACGCTACAGTGGATAACTTTCTGCACAAAATGGCTTCAATTGTTGTTATAAGCGTCGTTAATAGTTGAGGTATAAATTTACTATTGTATCATTTTCCTTTCATTTTCCAACGTGTACTTCAGATAAAAGTAAGAGTTATAAGAGAATTGGCCACCCCTATCCCCAAACGTGAAGGCAGCTGATTCTTTTAATGGTAGCTGCAACAATTTGTTTTAATATACAAACCTTCTAGATGCACATTTTTTTCTAAAATAAAACTTTTTATTTTTCAACTTTTGTTTAACTGTTTTAAAGGGCATTTTACTGTTTTTTGGTTTTATGCCAATGAGTATTTCCATATTCATGAGCAAAACTGTGATGTAATCCCAGGAAGCAAGCCTTTGTGTTACACTGGTTTGTACAGAAACAAGTCCTAGAGTTTTGTAGAGTTTGCTGGACTAGATTTTTTCTTCTTTGTTGATTCATTGTTGTTTGTGTGCATACTGGCAGAAAGCAAGCATCAATCCCTTTCTCTGATAAGTTTTCATTAAGTATATATTCTAGGTCGACATAGAAAAACCTATGCACTAAGCTGTCTTCTGTAGATAACATCCCAGCAACAGCGCCATCAGTTGTCCAGGAAACATGGATAAGATTAAGTGTAATAAAGAATACAAAGAAAGTTTATGAAGACGAGTACAAAGTTGCAAAAATTGTGTCTTAAGAAAAATGCCGTGAAGCTACACTGTAACCAATATTCGGTAAATTTCGGCTTTTCACAGTGAATGTTTGCAGTGTATTTGACGTCATATTTAATTCTTTTCAACTAAAAAATCCCCGCGATTCATGCATGACATACAAATGTAGGTAACACGGTTTTAAATTGATTCATGGAGCTATTAGGCCTAATTTAATAAAAACTAAAAAAGTGTAGGTTCAACCGCGTTTTTTTGTACATTTTCTTTGAAAGATTTGATCTAAAACCTACACATGGGGGTAGATTTCCCCTCATGAGCGTTTCTTAGAATGACTTGATTAGTAATTGAAAAAAACTGCCAAGATGTTATAGTATGGTCCTTGTTTCTGAAAATGGGCACCACTGGCACATCGTAGTACGTGCACAGTTTCAGTGAAAACTTCGGTTTTTTTCATGAGAATATGAGAAAGATCTCTATTGTCGCTAGTTTGATCCCGTCCATGTTTGTTCATTAAAGTCGCTGCAGGTATTTCAGAGTTGATTAGGCTGTGATCGAAACTTTCAGCCGCAGTTAACAACAGCCCACGCGCCCGTGGAAGCCACCGCTAACTATAGCGGCTACGTGTGCTAGGTTTATACAAAGATTGCACCTTTTCCCCGACAGGGGAAATTTCTTCCTTTTACCGGGTCAGCTGGGGATTTCAGTCCAATAGTGTGTTTCCTTGTCACCTGGGTGGGATTTGAACCCAGGGCCACGGGGGCTCCATGACCGCCGCAGAGGCACGCTCGACTCCCAAAAGAGTCGCTCGGCTTCTGTGCGCGGCAATTATAAGTGGCAGTTCTGTTGGTCCCGCGTACACGCTGATGACAAACGTATGCGGCCTGACCTGCTTACGTTAATGACTCGGTAAAATGTAATCTGCAGCGAAAAACATTTCTGCATGCTGCCAAAATCGAATCCACCGCGAACTTGACGTTGACAAAGAGACAGAGTAACAAACTCTGACGCATACGGGAGTGAAACTTCTAACGCACAGGGAGTTATCTAAGTAAACAAAGGTGCCCTTTCCTCAGAATGTCACAATCCGTGCAGATGTCCGCAAGGTTGGAAATAGCTCACGGCAGTGCATAGTACTGAAATCATATCCCTTTTCCTATCCTGGCGATTTACTTATTATAGCTGGCATATTTGTGCATGCCCAGTACCTTACAGTCTGAGGACGCAGGTATAGTTGTCGATATCAGGGCGCCCTCAATGCCTTAGGCGTATGCAACGACTGCGGTAAAAAGTCAGCCGAGCGCCCCTTGATTGGTTGTCAAGCCAGTGACGTCAATGTCTGAAGTCATCAGATCTTTTAGGACTGCAGGTATTCGCGCACTCCACACTCATACTCAAAGGCAGTTTCAGTCACATTCCGGTAACTGTACTTTGTGGTTCTGTCGCAATGGTTTGTACTTGCTAAAATAGTGATCTTATACCTTTATATTCAGTCAATAGAGATAAATAACGGTGTTTGCCTCAGCAAACATAAATGTCTTTAAAATGTATAATGCATTAATAAGTATGACATCAGTAAAATCCCGCGTAGATTTTGGACAAACCAAATTTCACATAAGATTTGGCAACAGAAAAGTTGTCGAATTCCTTTGGAAACGGAAGCAATCTGATCACTGATCAATGATCATCTAAATGCAGAAGCAGATCAGATACTCCTTACCCTTTTTTCGATGTATTTGGGTGGAGAGATAAATGCTCTAAGAGAGGCCGTAATTCGAACCAGGAGCTAATTTGGGCGGGCCACAGCCAATATACTTGCCCTGTTAGCACCAGACGCAGAGTTAACGGACCTCGGCTGTCCCAATCATAACACAGATTCCAGCATCGATAATGTCACTTATGCTTAAAAATCCTGGCTACCGTGCAAGTCTGAAAAGGTATTGGGCTTTACTATAGGGATGTTTATGTGACGATAGAGAGCACACACCCGTAAATGCGCTCTTCGGGTTCTGACTGGTCGGCAGAAAACGCGCGGCAATACTGATTCACTTCCACTATGCATTGCTGGACCTCCATTTTGAGCCGTTGTGCACCCTTCAACGTTATCCCCGGAGACAAATCACAATTCCTTTCGTAGAAAGCTCAGTCAACATCACGAAACAAAGTCTCGGAATTGAAACAAATATTAGAATGCAGGCCAACAAAAAAGACATCACAAAAAAAAGTAAAAACAATTTCCATTCAGGCAAGCAGTAAGGTCGGAGGGTGCACACTCGGAAATACAACGATCTTGAGAATTTAAGAACAAATCGGGACGGGCGTTGATTTGACACCAGGTTAACACTACAACTGCACCTAAACAGAGCCAAACTTCTCATTTGCAACAGGAAGACAAAAGCCTGTCTACGAGCCTGTTGGCAAAGGAAGATTAGGATGTTAATTAAGAAAGAAATGTGTATACTGTCCCTCGTAATGTATATGCTCGCCTTCTGTGTCCCTCTAGGGGAACGAGAGATATAAGCTAAAATAAGAATTGGGAGTCTACAGCATAGGTTCACATCAGTTTGCAGATGCCGTTCGACCGTTTTCGAATCTGTCTCAAACCGAAAGGGGGAGACATGTAATCAAGATGTATTTTAGACAAGCAGCCTGCATAACCAAGGGGCTGAGGTACTCCTCAGAGCTAGCGCTGTGACTGACAGGCAGGCTTAATATACATGTCAGGCACACTTGACTGACAGGCTAGCGAGCCGCCTGACCGTGCCTAGGCGTACTGGGACCGGCTGAGAATAGCACATGTGCCCCCAAAGAGAGACTCTGGAGTCCGTGGTGCAATGAAGCAAACATGTTTCAGGGAAGGGGGCACACCTTTTACTCGTTGACCCTATTCATGATGGTGCTTATGCGCCTGACATTTGGTGGTTCATAGGTGCATCTTGCATGTGCTGCAGCGGAGGTATTGCTCCCTTCCAAATTGCCAACCAAACCTTCTTATGAAGGACCCTACCAAAACATACTCTGAGCTTCAGGGATTTTCATTTGCATAGATGGGTCTTTACTGGCCGCTACGACTTCTTTTCTGTTTTCTTGGAAAAATCAGTGAAAGAAGATTTAACAACAGACAAATCTATCCTGTTTAATTTTACATTCTGGGCTTCGAACGCAATTCTGACCAACAGCACCCTCTGTTGATTTTTCCCGTCCAGGTCAACCGGCCATTAACGATGAAGAAGGATGGAATCCAGACGCGGAACCGTAAGCTGTCCACCAAGTCCAAGAAGAACAAGGGCAAACTGGTCATGGAATCCATGAAGCCCATGGATGACGGCTACCCGAAGTTCCCCATGTTCGCCGAGCAACATCAGAACCTGGCCCATTCCCACGCGCACTACCACGGCGGCATGTCGGACTACACCATGGCCGGGCCCACCACCACGGCCCTGCACCACCCCCACCACCACTCGCACGTGGCACCGCACTCCATGGCGTACAGTCCGTCCTCCCTGTGCAATTCCCTCTACCCCACCGGACCCACCCACGTGCCCGTGCCATGCAGCCTGCCCATGTCCTCTTCCACTGGGTCCATGGTCGGAGCCATGGCATGAATCAGGGGTTCCGCGCCCAGTATTACCATAGAGAGCAAGGCCTCTATGGTATGACTAATCATAGGGCCAATGGACTACTGATCACAAGGGCCAGTTAGGAGTGACCAAATCCTCCCACCAGGATCCAAGAGACCATTCTACTGGTGCAAAAACTTCAGGTATTCAGTGACTTTTTAGTAGTGACTCTTCTTAAGATGTTGTGACCAGGAACATCCAAGCGAAGTTGCACCACAGAACAACTCGTCGTACATTATTTTACATAACTGTTTCAACTATCATTTTCGAAGCGAAGGGAGTAAGTCACAGGTGCTCAATCTGACTGTACATAATACATATTAGACTCCCACGATCAACTGGTGGCGCCCTACGGATAGTAACAAAATTCACAGTAATAATGTGAAAATGATAACAAACATTTCGGAGGAGGGTCACCGAGGTTACCAACCAACTTTGTGTCACAGTGATGGCATCAGCCATCAATATGTGAATAATTCATGAGTGTTGTACATTCATTATGAAAAAAAAATACATGTACAAAACATGTGATTGTTCACTGTATAAAGTATGAGAAACATCTGCATTGCTTGTCTAGAAACTTCAGTCAGTATTCGTATGGTATTTGAAGCGCAAATGAAGCGCAACGCCATTAGTGTATCACTTATTTTTTTTGTTGGGGAGATAGAAGATTAATATGTCATGCTTGTTCCATTCGTTGTTATTAACCACAATGTTGTGCATGCTCCTTGCTCATTAAGATGACGTTTGCATTTTGTGCTACCAAATCTATCATATCTAGTCATATCGCTCGACAAAGACATAGTGCACACCTTCAGTCAGACGGGCAGAACGCAAAGGTTCTCAGAAAAGGTATCTTGATTTGTAGATTTACATTTCAACCCGATCCTCCCTTTTGCATTCAAAAGTAAAACACTTTCACACATTTTCCTGCTAATATCTTTTTTTTTCCAGCGCAGACTGAGCCTTACTCCCTTGTACTTTTGGGGGCCACACCTACTGTGTTGGCCTGCGTTGGGCACGGTATTCAATCATTCAGGGCACACGCGCTCCTGACTGATGAACTTGGGATAAGTTGCGTCACCAATTGGCCTTGGAATTTCCGCAGACATGTTGAAACCTTAATGGTGTGGACATCTGCACTTGACCCGTAGCTTACACTGTGCTGTGTATATCACTCTAACCCCTCCTTCCACCGCGTCTTTTCTCGCCAGCGAAGTTTACTTTCGTACATCATCACATTTCATAAATATTAGTGTTGCGACTTTGGATGGAGAAATTGTTATCAGCAGCGCGTGGTAGGGAGAAGGCTCACGGGCGGTCTACGCTGACCTGGGGCCGGAAGGAAGAACCGAATCAACTTGATTATATAGACACATAAGAGAGACGTGGGGAGGGTGAAATACGAAATAAAAAAATTCCCGGGGAGTTCATGAGGTCCCCAGGCACCATCGGAGCGGGCCAGGATAATCCTGGGGATTACCGCCGGCTTAAGGGTGGATTTCCAGCCTGCCGTCAGGGCGTGTGAGTGTCCCGTGTGAGTCTGGCCAGGGCTGACAGCGGGGGAGGGGGTATTGGAATTACGGCGTCCAATTATAGAGCAGGCTGACATGTGTCGGGCCGTGGCCTGGTGCACTATTTGCTATGAACTGGGAAATATATAGACTTTCTGGAAAATAAACAAAGATTTATTGGGGGGAAATGCTTATCTGTCCTCTGCACTTTTCCCGTTAGAAAAAAACAAACAAGAACCATGAGCAATAGGAACGTGGAGACGCACCCCAACTCCACCCGAAAACACGTCCCAGTCGCAGGCTTATGTTGATATACAAACGGAAGCAACTCAAAGTGACAATTAATGCAAATTATCGATTTAATTCCCGATAACTGACCGAAGCTGACTGGATAAAGCTCTGTGAGAGCCAGTCTATTATACTGAGGAGGTGAGGATCTCATGCGCGCTTGGGCTTTGTTTTTCAATCTGGCAGTCATCTATCTTTCGTTAACAAAAATCGGATTTTTTTCAAGTCTCACGCCCTCTGGAAACACCACTTCGTACACCACCTCTGACACTTGGGAGCCATTTCCCTTCTAAACGCAGATTTTCATATGCACTGGCCTTTCACCAGCTTTTCCAGAATATGGGCACTTCGTGGTTGGATAAATGAGGCTTTTGGACAAAATGTTTCAGTATTCTCGAGAACGCTCATACAGAACTTCTGTTATAGAGAGATGCACTATAAAAAATAAATAAACAAATGAAAAAAAAGGAAGTGGCAAATGGATTTTTTTTAGCCCGGCTGAAAATTAGCGTAGGAAATGGACATAACCTGCAGCAGGAAGTATAGAATTTCGTCGGTTGGATTGGGAGGACTTGTTGAGTGCAACTCGTTTTGACATCTCATCGGTCTCTCAGCCTTCTCGTATCGTCCAGAAGGTGCCCTGAGATTTCCGGCTTGTGATTGCAAACGGCGTTTTATACCAAGCACGTTTTGATGAGCAGTTCGGGCGCTGTGAATAACTTTTAACGCGCACTTTCCTGGAGTGCTATAACGTGTAATGGTCCGCGAAGCCCTGTCTTCTTGGTCGTTTCTTAACCCTAATCGTGTCGTACCCAAGGGTGTAGGCTGGGGGTACGGACGCACCCCCAGCCAGTAGAAGGGAATTCCACTTGAGGTGTTCATTTTTATTATATTTAAAACCAAACAGCAGTACGTTATGTTATAAAGGTGAAAACATGTGAGTATTCGATACACGATGATCGAAAAGTAAAATAGCAAATACTGTACATGAACTTGTTTCTGCATGGGGAAATCTGCTTTTCACGTGAGCACTTGCCTTCCTCGTTTAAGGAAGTTGGAGTTCCGCTTTCCCCGGGGGCCAAACCAGCCTACGCCCCTGGTATCGTTATCCAGTCAACTGTCAAACCCTTCAGGGATTTTTTTTGCTTCTGTCTTGCGATGATTTTGACTCAATTTCACTAAAATCGGACGTACCGTTCTTTCTCGCTTTTTAGTAGGGCTAATTAAGTAAGTTTAGCCCTCATCTACAGAAGCTCCAGGCCTTAAGTTTGAGGGCTATTTACATGCTTCCAGTATTCACATAAAGTTCTATGAAAAAGTCATTCAAGTCAGTTTGACACGCCTGTGCTTGCCATAGCTGCTTTTGGAAATTGTTTTCAAAATTAGGTAAAGGCGTAATAAGGGTAAATCCGAAAATGCCATCTATTCTGAAAAAATTGCTTCTTTCTTATCGCAATGCTGGAAAAGGTACCAGACTATTAGAGTGGAAACTACTCGATCTGTTCCGGATGAGTTGTATAAAGAAAGAATAGAATTTGTTGACGGAATGAAGTATCCATTGTGCTGTGTCCATATTTTCACTTTTAGCTACAACCGTTTTGGATTTGATTTCTGGCTCAGTTTCCAGAGAAACACTTATGAGAACGAAACGAAGGTGTTGAATTGACATCTTGAATTGACAAAATTTCATATGCAAAACTTTGCTTCAGAAGTTCTTAAAGTTCGTCACAACAGGATGCTTCGGACTAACGGCGGCCATCCCTTCGGGAATCTGAACATTGATGCCTAATCACTATGTGAACAAGCATTGTGGTTGATACATAACATGGAATGGCCTTGCAATGTTATCGAGGTAAACGTTTTGTCGTATGTGTAATTACATTACAATGTAACCCCACGCCCAGTCTCTGCAAACTTCATGCTCGAAACCTCCCCGAGTCATTGGTGCTAATTCAGTCGTTGTACTCTTTAGTGGGGATAATCATGTGATAATTTCCATGAACAATTCTCTCGTGAATTCTTTGTACATTACCTACTGTGAATGTTTCAGAATGTAAGACGATATAAAGATTATTTTAAAATGTAAATGTATACAGTAATTATTGTAAATAATAATAACATAGTTTAGTCTAGAGGTCCACCGTTGTCGGTTGCACACAGCATCAGACGTAACGTTTTGTAACGTTCTCGAAACCGACAATTTGTCGTGTAAATCTATCCGTCCCATTTAAGAAAAATCATGATTAGGCAAATGACTATAAAAAGTTACATGGGTGACCAAAATGTATGACTATACCTTGCACCACTTTGACCACATAATTGATTTTGTATACTTTTATTATTTTAGTGTATGATAATAAAACGGTATAATCCCAATTCTGAAAACAACTCAAAATAATGCCGAGCCGTTTTCCTGTCGCAGCTCATATTTTCCAGGACCGTGTTTTCTTTCTGTGCTGGGGGGGGGAGGTAGGTTAATCATCGCTGAGCAAATGAACAGAACTGTAATCGGCACCGTGGGGCCCTTTCAAAGCTGTACTGAGCCAATTCAAGTCCAGTGTCACCATAGAGTTGTGGGACAGAATTTGGGGGATAAACGTGTGGCTGCAAGGTTGCATTGTTCATCAAGAAACGAAAGGAAAAATACAATGAGTTGAAGTATGTGCAAGTTGAAATAAAGTTTGCATATTTGGACAGAAAACTAGCTTCCGAAGAATGGAATTTGGTCTTATAGAGTGGACATCCACTCCCTTTGACTAAAGCTTAGGACATAATGACTTCGAGTGAAATATAATTATTTCATTTATACTCGAAAAGGTCGATAAAAAACTCGAGATTACAGTGGGAAACCCACGTTATTAATCTAAATTTCGGGTGATTATCACTGTTGATTGTTCAGCCCTTAGTTGGACTCATGTGAAACGAACTAGCGTCGGGGAAACATCTCTTGTACTTTATTCTATTTAAATATTGTATTCTTGCCACATTCTGCATGTTTGTAAAAACATTATAGCCTACATTCAAGAAGTTGCTGTTCGTTTCGGTCAGCTCGCTTTGCCAGTGATTTTGCTGTTTTTCTGATGTTGGATACTTTATAACATATTCCAATGATTTACCTGAAACACTAAGTACTGCAGACATCCTGTTATTTTGCTGTATAGAATTTCGTCCCATCCACACGCTGTGTTCTGAAATAATGTCAGTCGTTTACATAGACAAATTCTCGTTGCATTTTTCGGGAATTCACGAGATTTTGTGGAGTAAGGCCATTCTTATGTTAGAGGCGAATTAAACGTAGGATTAAAATGTAAATACACGTATACGAATTTAATCAAAGTATGAATCAAGCAGTTTTCAGGTCTGCCTGGAAAGTAAGATATTAATACAAGAATAAATTATATAAGTATCGTTAACTTCAATTGGTTTATTCGGTGTTTCTCTCCTTTTTTCTTCGAAGTTACAAAAATGGCCCTAACCGCCCGCCCTGAACAACTCTGAAAATTTGAGTAACTTGGTTGTTATTCTCAGATTTTATTCCTTTATTAAAGCCACTCCCTTTTGTGCAGCCCTCTGTGTGTGTGTCTCCTACACCCGTCGGATTTACATTTTGTATACATGGCGCCATTTTTTTGTCAAAGAATTGTCATTGTCAAAAACTGTATAAAACGGTGACAGCAACAAATTACATTTTGTGGCGGCCGCAATCCAAAATATCTGAACCACTTCCCTAAACGTTCCCTTGAATAATATACTAAGATTCAAACCGTTATCTTGACATTGGGGTGTCAAGGGTAATAAAACCAGCTCTGAGATATTTTTAACCTTAAGCGACGTGATAACCAAACCCTTTTCTTGCCCTAATGACACACTGATTTAGATGCCAATTGAGGGAAGGGGTGGGAGAGAATTTTTCTTTTTATTTTTGATTGAGAGAAAAAGAAAACTTCGAACCACGCCGATAATTTGCAAAATGCTTGAGAACTGGCTTTGAATAGAAGCGGTTATGTATTGCCTAATATCGTCCATGTTTATAATGTTCAATTTTTCCAAAATTGTTTGGATCACTTTTAGGTTTGGACTAATTTTTTTTTTACTATTACCTAATTCCAGAGCCTCATCACATGCTAAACAGCTAATCCTTGTGGCTTGTCCCACGATGATTCAATTTGCCAATTCATTCGAGTCTATTTTTTGCTTGTGACTTATAGTCTCGTCTCAAAATGAGCCAGCTTAAACAGTGCACTGAACTCCCAATGAACGACTTGGCCAGGTCCAAGATTTCAGGATGTCGAACCCGTCCGCCTTCTCTTGATCTTTCAAACTCTACGCGCTTGTGAGCACGCATGTTTCCACCGGGAGACACAAGGATGCAAGCTGCCGGCTCCAGCCGCGCGCAGTCCCTCTGCATTATGGTTGAGTTGGGGTGACGAAGGCACGGTCTGGATGCACGCTGGCCGCTCCGGCTGGCTCGCACCTGCCATCCATGTTACCAGCGGGACCGCTGAGATGTCGTTTAGCTCAGTTTATTTTTTATTTCGCTGTAAAATGATTATCCACACATTGTTATAGACTGGCCTATAATAATACCGGCGTTACCATCAGTTCAAGGGAAACTTAGGAAATGTGCTAAAGGGGGGGGGCAGAATTTCTGGTAAATTACTCAGTAACTGATCAACATTTTCCTGCAATGTGTACTTCATTTGAAAAGTCGTGTCGTCCTCCATTTGATACCATCAAGATTCTGCTTGGGTCTTTAATGAAACCTAGTGCATAACACGTCCTTTCGCCAATCGAACTAAGCGCATGTTGGCATCCGGCATACGTGACACAAGCACCATGCTTTGCTGGTATTAAATGAGAAAGGTTAAAACGAGTTTGAAATGAAGCGCAAATACATCAAAATGTGTCATTTAGCAATTCATCCTGAAATGGTGCCTTCCTTTTCAGGACACCCTATATCAGATTGGCGTATCCACGGGGAAGGGGGGGGGAGTTGTCCCATGGATACCTGTCGCCACTTTTGTTTTGTTTTGTTTTGTTGGTTGTTTGTACCACCTGTCTTTCGGGGAGATGATTCTTTTATGAAAGAAAAAAATGGCTGCTCGGTTCCCAGTTTACCCCTTCTACCCCACCCAAAAACGGGGTGCACGGGCAAAAGTTAACAACATTAAAGACATTTCCTGTTCTCATTTCAGAGAATTGTAGGAAATCTAAGTGAGTTAAGCCACCGACATTATTCAACTTTGACATTCACCGTGGAGAGGGAAGATAAAACAACGCACCCCAAGCTGTGCGATGACTCTAAACGTGATCACCCGTCGGTCACGAATTAAACTTATTGGTGGACAATTGTGAAGTTTGGGCTAGTATGAAACTATGGGTCCACAGTGGCCGGTACATGGGCATTCCTCAGTAACGCCTGCCCACACAAGGTAAAAAAATGGTTCCGATACAGTTGAAGTTTCAATTCAATTAATTTACGAATTTCTATTTCTCCGTTTGCTACAGTTAAAATACCAAAAACAGTAAATTAAGACCCACATTTTAAAAGGATAAAACGTCCATTTGAAATACAAATAAATTTACCAAAATATTATACATAAACTCCGATAACCCTTCTCAACATTGCCAAATAGACCATAATGGAGGATTCCTTAGGGACGCGGGTGAAAAGAAAAGGGGCCCTGTGAGATAAGAGGATTTGAGATTAACAGCTAAAGAGAAAGAGTCCTGACACGCACGAACATGCACGCAAATGACAAGAATTTACGGTAATGAAACAAATCTGCGGCATGGGCAAGGGATTATTAAAGAGGAGGGCAACTCTGTGGGAACTCCTGACCCCCTCTGGCTCCCCCACCCCACACCCCCCTCCCCTCCCGAGAAGGGCCAGGTTATGCCACTGAAAATAAACTGGAAGAAAAGGAGGAAAGTTGTAAGGAGAAACAAGGCGTGGAGCAGAAGCAAGAGGAGTACGAAGAATGAAAGGTATCGAGGTGAATTGAAAGGGACGAAAAAAAAAAAGAGAAGAAGACGAAAAGAGGGAAAAAGATAAAATTTAAGAAAAAAAGGAGAGGAGAGGTACGCAGTGGATACAGCAGAGGGAAAGACGGTAGGAGAACAGGCATGGAATGCATTCTATGCATCGGTATATGCCCCCCAAAACAGCAACAATCGCACTATCTGCTACAACTGTACATGTTGATGAACAAGATATTGCGCTTGGTCCAAACCAAAGGAGAGGCGATGACGGTTTGCCTTGGACTTGAGTTGACGTAGTGTGGTGGACTTTCGGGATGCATCTGGTGTTGCGATGCTGCGCGATTCTTATGACAAGAGATGGAAGGCTTTCACCTATTTTTAGCAACGGGGGCTCCTTTGGTCGGAACTGAACTTCGCTGGTTCATGAACAACTAGAAAATACAAGCGTCACAGTCGCATCTCCACCAACAATCACTTCCAACTAATGCGGCTCTTTGCAACCGATGAGGGGGTGCTTAATTCTGGTGGAGGCGGATTAGGCGGCATATCCTTCCTCTCATTTTGAGTGTCTTATAGGATCGCTAGTCAAGAGTCTCAACATACAAAGAATCCCAGCAGGCTATAATCAAACTACAGATAATGGCTGCTGGGGGGTGCCAAGAAAATTATGCTTGCATTATGGATGCACGTCTGGACTATACCCCTGAAGACGACGTTTTAAAACGATGTGTTCGTACTATCACTGTTAAAAAGGAAATTTAGTTGGATAGAATGTTACAAGTGGATACAATCTTCCCTCTGACTTCTTAAACCATGGAAGGAGGAAAAGACACTCTCCAAACAAAAATTAAAGTCAGATGTGCTGCAAATTGAAATTTGCATAAAATTCACTGAAAAATTAGTCAGGCGAAAAGCGTTTGTTGTGTTGTAATACAATAAAGACTACAGAGTTTCGAGAAAACGAGTATGATATCACTGCTTTCGATTTGGCACGAACTAATAATTCAGTCGCACGAGGGCGCCTTTTCCTTTCAGCAATGCCTATTTCCTAATTCAGAGGCACGGCGTGTCCTGACGTAAACGAATTAACCGTAAAAAGAACCGGGTTATTTCGCCCATCTCACAGCTGGTTTTTTTGGGGGGGGGGGTTCCGCCGCCTTAAGAACTCAGCTATGTCAAGCCTTCCTTTTTTTCAGAAACTTGTCGTGTCTAGGGCCATTTGCATGCACAGACACATCTTATCATTACCAATGAGAAGTTTAAACTCAATCGGACATTATGTTTTGTTGTTATGGTCACTTCAAGTTTATGGCTACATGCATGGATTCAGCACTGCAGTGGAAAAAGTATACAGTTTTGGGAAAATGCGCGTTGCGCGAGGACGGTTGTTCGATTTTTGTAAAAAAAAAAGGTCAAAATGACGGCAAAGAGTTACTCTAAAAACTCGTAAAAGCTCAACTCCTGAAAAAATTGCAACGCGGCGACATCGAAACAAAATGTCGAGGGAAGGGGGCCGATTCCGCCTGCCTTTTGGTCAAGGGAATTCAATGAGACTTGAGCGCCGGAATAGACGTGGCCGTAGTGCCTATGGAAGAAGGTTTTATGGAGGAATCCGATTAGACGCCATAACTGCGGTGGCACCGCACTCGCACGCACATTCTTCAGTTTGACGCGCACGTACATTTGGCAAATCACGACACCCTATTGGTCGAAGAGGCAAGTAACGCGCGCGTACCACCTGTCTACGAGCCTTATGCCACCGCAGTAATGGCTTCTAATTCTGGTGGTCGAATTACACTATACACTGCGCCGTCTTTGTCATTCAGTACAAAACGCAAATGGCATCAACACTCCAATCAAATTATTCGTTCTCCACAAGAAATACAAACTCCATTCCTAACCCTATAGCTTGTAAATAGGTTACTGAAATCGGAGGATTGAGGACTACTAGGGTTAAAGCCAACATAAGGTTAGGCCTATTATTGCTTAGTAAGGACACGATATAGTAAACTACTTGGTTTTTACTGTTGTAACTTTTGTCATAAATTTTCTTGTGAAAATTCTTGCATGATAGCGATGAACCTGAAAAGCGTGCATGAGCCTCGATGAACGCTTATTGCTTGGTATCTGGCAGACGTGCTTACATACACAAAGATGGGGCATTACTCCATTTCATTAAGTTTCATTAATAGGTTCATAAATCCTTTTCTATTTTGCAAAGTAACTTTCAAATTCAGATATACGGCCATTTTGAGGACTAAGTCATCAAGGCTTTTTTCCTCGTACCCTGGCTTTGACACGAGAATGAACTTGGGCACCTCTGGTAAGGGCGCTCGAATTACAATTCCTGATTATGGTTGCATCCAAATTCATCCAGAAGTATTGTACAAATACTTTGTAGTTGTGAACACGTGTCGAAAAGAGACAAATAATTTGTCTTAACTGTCAGATAGGAACTCCTTAACTTTAATTTGTAGAGGTGAAAGTTTATATCCGGTATCGACACCCTACGTACTTTTTTCGGACGGATTCTTTACCAATTTGTCCTTTAATGTCTCGGGCGTGTGTTGAGGTCAATTTCACGTGAATGTACAGTTGTGAAGACAGTCACTATCATAAATGTTGTTGGATTTCCTTGACCGCTTGGGGGAAGGCGTGATCTTTGATATTGATTTGACTTAGGCCTACTGTTAAAGGACTGGCATTTAACATGAAACGCTTAGATTTGACTTGGTAAAAATGATTATAAAAGTAAACCGCTGCGTTTGTATTTATAAAGTGCTAGAGAATAAAAATCGAGTAATAATTGGATAGTGAAGATCTGAATAATAAAGGTGGATTCTTCTGTCAGCAGGTTGAAAAAAATCTTTTAATAAAACTTGGCTGTAGCAGGTTACGTGGGAAGGGTGACAAAGGTCGGTGGCACCGCCGTTACGTCTCCTAGCCGCTAGCTTCTAACACCATTGCAACCGCTATAGCCAAGGGAAGTGCGCATTAATGAGCACAAGGTGCGGTAATGGCTCTCGGGGGCCGGCATTGGGAACTGAGCTGATTGGGAACACGTGGCATCAGAAAATAGAGAACAGGGACTCGGTTGATTCCCAACATCCCACCCATGCGATGCCAGTTAGGGGCACACAAAGCCTGTGTTTGCAGATGGCGAGTGTTGCGGCCTGATTGCCGAGGGAAATGTCGTGCCCACGGCGGATTCGCTCCTCGCTACGCCCTGACATTTTTCCTCTTCCGTTCGCAGTGTTGAAGGTGACTTTTTGTTTTAAATTTCATGTTATATTATCTGCAAGCCAGAAGCGAAGACACAGGATGAATCGGACGAGCAGAAATACCAGAGGTTCTTTACCCTTTTGAAAATGTTGGTGGTTGAGAGATGACTTTTAGGCCCATTTTGGAAGGAATACAATGTCGTCGTCTATCTACAGGGACTTCGATTCGATGAGCGAAGTATACTAATCTATCAGATCTAATATTACGGACAAATTGTATAAAAAGGGAAAATTCTGCAAGCATAATTTCGAAATGAAGAAAGAACACCATTTTCCTTTTTCAAAGCGAGTTAGTTTCAACAAAAGTATACCTACTCTCAAAATTCAAGTAGGCTATACGACTCGTGAAGAGACACACGGCTGAAGCAGTGCTGATCCGCCATAAAAACTGAGTTTTTCTTTCAAGGAGACATGAAATGTTTCTTGCCGCGTTGCTATAAATTCCAACCTCCTCTGAAGCAGCAGAAACTTCAGCATTTTGGTTTTGATACTGACAATTTCCATATTCATGAGAAAAGCGTGATGCCATCAAAGGCGGAACCGTGTCTCCATTGTTCTGTGTACAAATATATCACACTTTTCAACGTGTTCTTGGAGTTAGTTCTGCTCTTTACTTGTTTATGTTAAGCAGCCTGTCTTTGTTATGTTTGAAGGACAATGTTGTACTTTTTCTTATTCTTATTTGATAAAGAGTGCCTTGTCTGACAAAAGCAAACGAGAGAGCGCTCTGCAAAAAGTATCGATGGAAGGATTTTCTAAGAACAGAAAGACTACCACCTTCTTGTCACTTCTAATGAAGAGAAGTATTTGAACATCTTATTTCATCATTTTTGTAGCACACAGTAAGTTGTGTGAAAACAAGTTGAGCTGTAGTTTCGCTGCATGTTTAATCTTTAACCCTTAACCCTCAAAGAGCCGGGTTACTTTGGGCTACCTCAAAGGTGGTGTACACCATTGGTAAAATCCCGAAAATCGGACTACCGTATAATCCTGAAATATCTCACTTGAAAGAAAGTACATGACAGTCTCAACCAGTCTGTAAAATGTTTCCACCCAGAATGCTGTAGTTTTCGAGAAAACAAAAATTTTGTTCTCTTTGTTTACGATGGTCGGCCAATCGTAATAGAGTAAATTTCACTTCCACGTCACATCCTTTAACAGGCGCCAATTTTCTTATGCATGTACATGTATGCATGTTTGCAGACGTTGTAGGAGTCTCCATTAATGAACAGATAAACCTGAAAGCAGCTAAAAATATACTGACATACATTCACCAGAAGCACTGTGAACTGAAATTAAAGACACCTGAGTGTTAGGCGTAAGGTAGAAAATGAAGTGGATCAGTGTGAAGTTGAATCTTATTTAAATCTAGTTTTTTTTAACGGGAAAACTTTGCGAATTCAAAACCAGCCCTAGAGCATAATGGTATGAGCCAATATGGCGGCTGTTTTCGAGCATGATGATTTTTGTCAACAAAAAGTACAATTTCCACACGTTAATCCTCTCCTGTTTTAAGGCATAATTCTTTTCTACTTATAATTATTAATGGCCAAACTATGAATGGAGTTTTAGACATTCGTCGACGTGTGAACTGACATGAAAGTGCCGTTACGGACGTACACGAATCGACTTCTGTGTTCCGGGATGAAGTTTTTCCATTGATCCGCAATGCTCCATTGTCGAGGAAGCGCATTGTTCCAAGGTAAATTTGATTACTCCTAGCCGTTGAAAACCGCTTCTTTTTAGGAAAATGAGAACCTGTTGTGCCTGTTTCCTACCCTGACCTGCAGACGTTAATGTTTGCTTGTACTACGAACGCCCAACAATCCATAGATTTTACGCAAGATAAACTACAAGACCTTCGATTTAAGTGTTGATAATGATGCACTGTTTTTTGTTTTTTTCGATTTTTCACAAAGCAGTTGACTCAAACGTGAAACAAGTCAGTAGAATGTAAGTTGCAGGGAATATCACACACCGTAATCAGCCAGTCTTGTGAAATTACGACAAAAAAAATTAATGGTGTCCACTAGGCCTACTTTAAGCGTGTCGCGCTCGATTTCTTTTAAATTTGGCATGCATGTAAAGACACTCCTTATCATTACAGAGATGAAGTTTGAACTCAATCAGACATGCGGTTTTGTTGTTTTTTGCAGTCAAGGCTACACTCGTAACAAACAGCTAAAATAGCACCCTGTCCCGGCCCCCACCTTCCCCTTATAATTTCAGGTTCAACATTAACCTTAATAAAGGGCAAATGCGGTGGAACAATTTTAGTGCAAACTTCACCCCGCACATTTGTGTCTCCGTTAACGTCTTTTCAAATTTATTTCACTGTCCCCAAGGTTATTTTACGGTCTTTCCAGTTATAAGGCTGATCTTTCCATATTCATGAGTAAAAATGTGATGTCATCCCAGGGAAGAAAACCTCGATGTATTGGTTTGTGCACACGAAACTTTTACATTCGTTTTAGATTTTACTGGCCTACGTTTTCTCTTCTCTTACTCAGTAATAAACAAGCAATAACCCCTTTCTCAGGAATGTTTTCAATGGGTAAATTCTAGGTTCACCATTAATTTTGAATTATAGTCTGCCATGACATCGCACCAACAGCGCCCTCAGTTGTCCAGGAAAACATGGAAACTTGTAGAAGTACATGTCACGAATCCTGGTTCAAAGCTTCAGTAGCAACAGAAATTTTGCCGTCTGCTTTTTTGCACGCTCTGTAAGGAGACGGACACATTTACAAGTTTCCATGCCTAGATTGACACAATATCATCATATGTCTAATAGAGGGGAATAAATCCTCAATCACACAAAATATCCTCCTTTTCCGTCTCAAGTGCTACTATAATTTCCCTCCAAAATAAAACTGTGTGTATTCGACAACTGATCATAATCACAGAAACCGTCTCGTATGACTACTGAAAGGAAGCACACGTATTTGCTAACGGTTTTGTTTGTATAAACTAGAATTACTGTTATAAAAAATCACACGAGATGTCCAGAGACACAGGATATTTTTTCCGGTCCTCTCCAGTTTTATTCCTGGAAGGGTTCCAAATTATGAACTTGGACTTCCCCAAAGCGCGTGAAGCATATGTAGACGACGGCTGGAAAAGCCTATGTTTGCACTGTTTCTGAAATTCATGACAAAAGGTTCGTGCAATGAACAGCCTTCAACACCGTGGCCACGCCGTGCAATGGTGGCATCCCCCCATGAAAATCTCATTCGAGCTCGAGTTCAGAAGCTACAAGTAATTTTCTTTCTTTTTTTCAATAAAGAATCCTTTAATGAAATTCATTAACACTGACAGACCACAGACACTTTCTCGCCTCTTCTGGCCAGCTCATACTGTAAAATGTAAATTTCAACACATACTTGGATCCACTCAACTCACTGTTCTTGAAATCAATTCGTTGCTGACAAAAGACTTTATGGGACAATAGTTTACAGGCATTTCGGTTAAATTTTTGTACAAAGGGTACATTTTCTTTTAGTTTGGTTAATTCTACGCTAGTTCATCGTTCGCTGGCTTATCATACGAAATACCCGCGCCAAACCCATTGGTTGCAACGCGATATATGAAAACATCATCAACCCTGGTATACAACAACACAACTTGCATACAGTGACGAAACTCTGTGCACTTCCGTGGCTTTTAGCAATCAGCGAACCGACAAGCTCAATGATTTGATCAGAAATAAGAGATTCCAGATAGATCAGACAAAAGAAGCGAATGAACTCACTGACAAACGACATATATGTAAATGGCAGGTGAGACAGATATCCTGTGGCTGTAACTTCATAAATAGGGGAATTTGAAAGAACTAAACTCAAAACATGTAAAAGAACACGTCCAAGATACAGTACATTAAAGACAAAAATCATTTTCTGAACAAAATTTTTCTTTAAAAGTTGACACATTAGTGACTCTACCTGCGATGAATAACAGAAAAGCAGTTACTTAGTAAAACATAAAAGGAATCCCCTAAACCAAGACTTCTGATTTTTTCATTCACTAGTCAAACAGTTCTAATGAGAGGGAGAACTGAAACTCAGCACAAGAAATGAAGGAAATGGTGTAGAGACAACAAGGAACATTTTAGTTAAGTTCAAGAAAGGATAAACATTTTTGGGAGGGCCAAACAATGTCAGGTTTTATAGCTGTTCTTACCATCAGATGGTGGACTTATGTTCATCCACCCTTATCCCACCTCTGACACTACTGTTAAAGCCAAGATGCCAGTTAAGAGCAACGATGTCACTACACTTGTATTTTAAACCAAAGCCCCGTCTAAATGCTGAAACTGTTGTCAGTTCATTTCACCATTAAAAAAAAAAAGAAAAAAAAAGAAAAAGGAATCCAGTAGTTAAGAAGAATCGAATGTGATCATCTAGAAGAGTAGACTTCCCATGCCACCCATCTCGCTCTGTTCCTTGACAAAGATCTCAAAGTACTGGTAGATGATGGTGACAGCCAACAGGATACCGGTGCCCGAGCCAATGGCACCCAAGAGGTCGGCTGTGACCGAAAGGGCGCCAATGCACAGACCGCCAAAAGCGGCTGCCGTCGGGATGTACCTGTGACAAAACAAATCCGCAAACCAACAATAAGCGACCTAACAGCATGTGCGGACGCTCCTAACACAGGGAACCGAACTACAAGCAAGGTGGCACGGTTCGTTCGGAGGCCAGGAATTTCTCAGTGAGGCAAGCAGTGAGAGACACATTTCAAAGAACACAGCAGGCTATTTCCACTCTCGCATTGGCTGTGCATATAAGGCAAACTTTCCATCTGTAAATGCCTGGTGCTCTAAGCCTGTTCCCAATGGAAATATCATCAAGAAGTGGCAGCAGCAGCATCATTGAAGTACTTAAAGCATGTTTCGCGAGGCTTTTACCATGCTCATGGATAATCAGGATGTCACTTGATCTTTGAGCCTGTCTTCGCATGTGTTAACCTACAGAAAAGCCAAGAAAACTTGGCCAAGTTTTTTAGACTTTCAATGTTCTTTAGCACGAGTGCAGAATCTTCGCTAACCATACTAGAACATTCTGTGGACACAGTCAAAGCAAAATGCTATGGATAGCAGAAGCATCAAATTGGGCCCTGATGCACAGAGATGCGTTCAATGTTTAAGCACTGCTTTCATCATTGTGCACTGGTTGATACTCTAATTGATGGGTAGCAATCCAACTTATTAAATGAAATGCACCTTACAACTGTTTCATCCACTTCTTGATTCACCCCCCCTGACATGGATACCATCACAAATCCCCACCCTGGGCCAGCCTTTTCATGCAGCAGACAATGTTATCAAAAACGTTTTGAGGGATGTAAGTCCCCACCCTGTGGCTGACGTAAGACCCAAGGCAGAATGTGGGGTGGGGTGAGGGGGATGATTGGTACCACCAGTCAAGCGTGACCAACAAAGATCATGAGCTGTTACCTGTTGAGTTCATGGATCATCGACTTTTCCCTGTGTCCTCTCATCACCATCTGCTGATCCTTCAGCTGCTTGGCAACCTGAGACAGTAACAAACGAGGGAGAGTGCTTACAGAGCTAGGCGAGCAAAAAATTAAATGAAAAACATTTACTGCTCTTCCACTTACACGCACTTACAATGAAAGGCTGTGTGTGAACTGCCCATCATGAAGCAGTAATTTAGGGATTACAAAAATCTCAATGCAGAAATTAGCCGTGTGTTCAACAGACAAGTGTTCAAGCTGTTTGGGTTTTTAACACAAATCGAATACTTGCTTCAAGTGCCCTTCTGCTGGGCAGCAGATTTGATGAATTTATCCCTCACAAATTGGAGGGAATAAATGACTGTTAGCTTGTTTGATCAGGCATCACGTAAGAAAGAGCACATGTAATTCACCATTTACCCCATGAAAGCAGTAATTTGAAGGAGTGACGTTAATCTCGTCATGTGCCCGGCAGAAGGGCGTAAGCGCTGAGGCCCTTTTGCCGGGAAGCATGATCACTGCAAAAAAACTTTTCCTGGCAAAAGGACTATTCTATTTTAATGAAATATGAAGATTTCTTGGCAAAAGTAAAAAAATAATGCCCAAGTCCTCTAATAAGTTGTTCAAATGTTGCATTTTGTAGTAAATTATATCTGTTTTTTACTAAATCAAGAGAGTGCATTTCTTATGCCTGTTTGCCGGGAAAATTTCTTCTGCTGTGATCATGCTTCCCGGCGAAAGGGCCTAAGTGTGCTTATGCCCTTCTGCCCGGCACCCAACGATCTACAGATACATTGGAGAACAGATCTCTACGAACAAAACTGCTTATTTTCGGGCTAACAACTTTGCACACACGGCTCAGCACGACAGATACTGACGCTTGAAAGTCATTGGTGCAATTGTTACATGCTATTTTCTCACCACAATATCATGATTTGTGACACCCTGACGCTCCAACAAAACAAAGCTATGTTCAGCTCAAGTTCAGCACCCTGTCTGTCTCTGCAGATTTCCCATTGTGTACGTACAAACAGAGGATTACGCATCTGCACACACCTGCTGTTGGAGGCTAAGGAAAGGCCAGTGTTTAACCCACTGACTACACCTAAAAAATTACAGAATGCCTATCAAGGGTTCCTAAGGAAATCTGAAAACCCAAGACTTTGTCTTTTCCAGGACTTTCCAGGACCACAAAACATGACAATTTCCATGATCTTCAACACAATTTTGCAGACAAAAAGTTGCTTGGTAATATGAACTGGAAGACTGCCTGAGCCACTACAAAACTAATACTACTATCGTTATTCCGTCAGCGAATCATAAGTGGCCCATTAACAATGACCCTTCCAAAATTTTGATTTCCATGACTTTTTTCCTCAGAACAGCATTCCAGAACTCCCTATTTTCGATGACTCTGCAGAAACTGTTTTTTGCAGGATTCTTCAGGATTTTCTATGACTGTGGGAACCTTGTTATCGCTTCCTCAGAGCCTAAAGAACAATCCAATCTGGAAAAAGATAAATTGAGGCAAATAGAAGTTGCAGATTGAAGGCTGTTTGCGTGGGGTGGACTACTTACGTCCTTGGCAGATGAGCCTGACACATCAATCCATGTCTTGGAGAAGAAGGCGCAGGAGGACAGCATGAAGACGATGTAGAAGACGGCATGGATTGGGTCTGCCGCCATGTGGCTGAAGTTCTCCGGCGGCGACATGTAGTAACACAGACCACCTACAGGGTAGGACCGGTGGGGGCCCGAGTCGCCAGCTTCCTGTTGGTGGAAAAAGGCAAATGTGACAGTCTGAGAATGAGCCTCTTGAAGGTTAGCATGTTAAAAATGTCTGTGGGTTTTGTAGGACCACAGGTACAAAACACTGTGATCTAGTTCATCAAACTGAAGACCAGAACTATTCAGCTTACGGTCAAACAGAAAAGTTTACTTCCAATGTTAAATTATAAAGCTAACAAGTTTGACAATTTTGAATTTGCAATAATTTGGTTCTAACAAAAAATACCTGTCTACAAGTTTTCCTGATTTTCCCTGGCCTGGAGATGCAAAAAACTAACTTCCATGACCTCTCCTGTTTTGTTTTTTCTTCTCTTTTCAGGCTGCCATTTGTTCTTTCACAGATCTTTCAAGGTTAACCATTCTCAGAGCGACCACCACTGTAGCAAACCTCTTGTTTTACTCAATAGCATACGTCAGGAGCACTTCTCCCATTAAAGACCACTAAAGTGCCCAATATTGACCGCCTGATCGAAAGACAGCTGCTTTGTCTGTGAAAGGTTGATTATTGTATGCTATGATTAAGCACAAACTGGGGGAGTCAGAAAAGTGTGCAGATTACATCATTTATCAGTAATTGCTGCTGGTGTGGAAGGCTTCTACTGCAATGTACGGGGTACCAGTGCATCAGCTGGCTGCACTGGGCACCTAGCTCACATCAGTCGGTAACCCAGGGGCTAGTCTCCCTGCATGTTGATCACGTGACAGCACATTGTTTAGCCGCACATGCCAGTAATATGCAGGTTATGCACTGCCTCAGATCAAGGCAGAAGGGTCTCTGTGTGTGTCCATACTGAATACCTGGACTCCAATGTTGAAAGAGAAAATGGCCCTGTGTCCCAGTGTGTGATAAGCATACTGCGTATATAATGGGTCATTTCACGTCATGTCACAGATTGGAACAAAACCTCAAGAACTTAATGCTTTCCATCTTTCATCCATTAAGTTTTGAGATATGGATCAATAAATGTTTGGCTAAATGCATAACCTCTGTACTTTAAAATTTGGATCTCATAAAGTACACTACTCACAAAGCCAAGTGATATATCATTGTAAAGCTCTCAGACTGGCCTTCATTTCAATAAATAAAACCCAAATCCTAGCATGAAGCACAGGGAAAATGAGTTACAATAAGATCTTTGACTTCACATTAGGAAAACAAGTATGCTTAAATTTCCTGATTATTTCCAATTATTAGTTTATGATATCAAAACTATCTTGTCAAAATTTTTTTGATGGGTGATCCTACAGTTTTCAAGTAACAATTTTTCGAAGATGGCTTCCACAAGTAAAAACGTGCACATTTACATGCGTTCCCATAGCGTTTATGCATGTCTACATGTGTACTTACATGTACATGCTTACATGTACATGCATTTCAAGACAGTTTGTACTTTTGTGCCATGCATGAAACAGGATTTGGTGTCCTTGCGTGGGTACAGGGCATACGACAGGGCCTTATCCATGCCTGCCACTCTGCTATCTTTGAGGGAGTCCCTGTGAAGTGAATACATTTCAGGGGGCCTTCCATGTCTATTAAGGGCCATGGGCCTCATGCACTGACATCCCAGTGATCAATCAACTTACCGCCCACACCCCCAGCAGGTTCACAAAGAAATTGCCGCTGAATTTCACCGCCATCATCTGAATTGGAGACAAACCAAAACAGGTAGGTGAGTACAAACTGCACACGAAGGAGCTCAAACCCAACCATATTTCATCAGATTTTTAGTTGCGATGCAAATGTCCAGCCCTGCCGTCTTTTGTAACAGAAATAATTTTGAGATGATATGGAATCATTACACTGGCATCTGATGCTACCAATAAACCTCTCTGTTACTGTCCACGCAGACTGACACATATATCGGTTGGGCTAATTTTGTGGTTAGATGGGACTTTCAATCTTCTGCGGTACTGTTATACTGGGATATACTCAGGACTGCAAATCTGTTAAAATGTAGGATGAATTTGTAGCATCAAACCAGCTGAACAGGCTAGGTCAGGTCAGTAGATTAAAGAAAAATGCACTCCGACTTTCTGGGGGAATGATTCTTGATTCCATTTACTGCCTCATAGGTCCTTTCATTCTTCAGAGGGCAAATTCGCTTGAGTTGAAATGTGAAATGTGTTCAACTTTTGCAAATTGGCAGTGTGAATATTTGATCCGACGTCACAATTTTACATTCATGTTTGCTTTCCTGCTAAGCATGAAGCAACCATAAGAGGGATGGGGGAACCAAAACACATTGGCGTAGTGAAGCTTTTACAAGCACTCCATTAACTCTCTAATTGAGAGAAAACTCTAGACAGCCTCTTCTCAGCAAGTAATTATCTTTCAGGTTCAAAAAACACCTTAAGGTAAAATAGCTTTCCACATGCAACTGCTCTTGCAGAAAATTCCACAAAATCAACCTTGGCCAATAAAATTAAAAAGCTGCACTTAACCACTGTAAAATGCTGTAAAAGACACGACCCTTGCATTTCAGCATATTATTTTTGTCAGGCTCCGTTGTGCTCATTAACCCCTTGATGATGGGAATTTTTTTTGAAAGCCGACTCCAAGAATTCCAGCCTCGCTTGACCACAAAGGCCACCTACCAAACCGCAAATTCTCGGTTTGTGGTCCTGTGTGCTCTGCACGCTTCGAATTACACAGTGAAAAGGCTCATTGTTCAGTGGCATGTGGCTCTACTCACG